TGAATAGAGCGCTCAGTAATCTAGTTTACTTAAAGGTTAATAAGATATCCAGCATCCGCTCTGTAAACATTTACCATACTGTACATTTTTTATCCCGCGTGAGCCAAATGCAAAACACACTCATTTCTCCTCATAAACAGGAAAAGCAATTGCTGACGGACTACTTGGGACCGGTTCTTTCAAGGTAAACCTCCCCAGAGACTGTATACATTTATCTAAAATTGTTTCCATTTTGCTTTGACTATTTGTAAATTGTTGAGCGGAGCGGAGGTGGAGCGTTTGACATGAAAAAATGCCGGATCAACAAAAATCTGCACAACTCAAAGATAAGTTATCCTTGTAAGCAAAATCGAAAATTGAAACAAAAAGAAAAAAAAACCTACAACTCCAGCCTCAGCACATTTCACAGTGAGTAGATAGGTAAGGGTTCACAAAGCCAGCAAGGTGCAGCAGCGTGTGTAATGCAATTGTCCGCTGCTTGTATTGTGTCGGCCTCTAACAGAGCACTTTGGGGGAAAACAGCAGCTCTTTACGAGGGAGAAAATTCATTGAAGTCAACAAAAACACCAAACGGCCAAACATTCAAATGAGTTGCAACATCCACTGCAGCGTCTATTGTTGAGAAAAAGGGGGAGGCATTTACACAGGCCCTGGGCAAAGTCAAACACTTCAACAATGAGGATTTACAGTTCTCCTCGTTTGCAGAAAGTCCTTTTGCATGTAGATTAGGTTCTGGTCTAATTAGTGCACAATGGATCTGCTGAAGAGAGAGAAATAAACAATATTCAATGATTGCGTTTCACTTTGTCATGACAATATGATGTAAATGAACACTTTTGTAACACTTTCGAATACTTTCCTATATATTACTTCCACTAGAATATGCAGCATTTTATATTTGCTTATTATCCTTTGAATAGTTTCCTCAACAATTTGGTGGATCACTTTTTGAGCCACTATATCCACTTGAACGCTTGGAACTGAAATCTACCTCATTCACATGCTTTTAGGCACTTCTACCATCAGTCTCCTTCTCAATCATTTTGTAGAGGCCTATGATTAAGAAACTAGGGGTTAAAAACTAACCTAACTATTGATGTTATTAGGCCTCCTAAAAACAATACTAAAACAAACATTGAAGGGTTATTATGCCAAAGTTGTTTTTTTAAATTTAATTCTTGCCTGTTCATCATGCTAAAGTTGGAGATTTTTAAGACTTAATTCCTTTTTATGCTAAAGGCAGAGATTTTATACTGCTTCTTTTGATGCTAGAGTTAAAGATTTTTGTTTTATTTTTTTATTTTAGTATAAAGTTATTATTAATGTATCTTTTGCTGTGTGCTGCTCATTCCTACTGTTCTGTAACTTTCGATGCAACACTAAAATTTCCCTGCAGTGGGACAATAAAGGATCTCTCAATCTTAATCTTTTGTCCCTATGGAGACATTACTTGGGTCAGAATTTGACCCAAGTCTTGGATGTTGTTACTGCGGTGGTTTTATTGAGTTGTATATGTGGTCTCTTTACAATATTTACGATTTACAGTACATCCAAGCGTCTCAATTGAATAGCTGCCATGCCTTGTTTACTGCGTAGAGACTGCATTTGTAGATGAATAGAAAACAGCTTGCAGTAGTAGCATCCACAACAACAGTAGCTCAGTTGGCAGAGCATTGGCCTTTGAGCCTGAAGGTCGTAGGTTCCACAGTGGGGCGGCTACGGTTGTAAAGTGCCAAGACACTTCACCCACATTGCCCGGAATGAGTCTGGTGTGTGTGGGAATGGTTGGTGGTGGTCGGAGGGGCCGATGGCACATACTGGTTGCCTCGCTTGTGTCAGTGTGCCCCAGGGCAGCTGTGGCTAGTAGTAGTTCATGTGAAGCGTCTTTGAGTGTCCATAAAGCATAAAACTGATGCATTATTATTATTATTGTTATTTTTATTATTACTATTATTATTAACAGACTGTATGTTGTGGATGCTCCTATTGCAGTCTATTCCAGTTGCCATGTTGAGGGGTGGTTGCCAGTTAAAGTGCAAATGCAAGTGTAATCTCATATTCTCTATTGGCGTTGGTCCATTTCCCCCCCCCCCCATGTCTAGACCCTCAATAGAAAAGCCCTCCACAGACATGCATGTGACGCAGGTGGTCAGGTTCATTTAGATCAGGTGTCACAGCGGCGCATCAGTCAATTTTGCCATGAAATTGTCCCCATGTCGCCACCTGCTCAGAACGGGGTGGCAAGAGGCAAACAAAAGCAGTGTGCATCCCCAGAAAAGCTGGAAGTATGCTTTTGCATCGCAGGAGCTCAATTGCAACTAGTCCAGCGTTCACTAAGATGGATTTTAGGCACACACATTTCATTATGATCATGATTGAATAGTGTTTCATCTATTTCATACTTTTCTGTAAATTTCTCCAGTGTGAGATCAATAAAGTCTATCTTATCTTATCTCGATGAGGATTCTGGTTCTGATCTTAACCGAGCCTTACAAGTTATAGGTTGCATATCTTCAAACAATTACCAGAAGATTAAAAATGCAAAAATGACATACCCTTCTTGTACTAAAAAGAAGAACAATTCAGGTCATAATTTTTTTATGTTCAGATTGAGTGTGATTGACAAGTGAATTTGAAAAATACAAAATGGTAAAACAAACTTGCCAGCTTACTAGAAAAAAATCAATTACTGAAAAGTATTGCCAGAATCTGAAAAATGCTTATGAAGGTTAGGCAGTTATGAAAAACAAAACACAACATGAAAAAAATATTCTACAATCTACAACGATTGAACAAACCCATTTTTAAATACTGTTGACTAAGTTTAGATAGAGTTGGATTCGTACAAACAATAGACAACAATGACCTTGTCTCTGTCCCGTGCGTCACTGAGACCACAGAGGATGGAGACCGGACAGTCAATCTACTACAGTTACAGTAGAATATGTGAATAATATCTGCCTTTTAAAGCATAAACCTTTGGAATTATGTTCAAGTGTCATAAATATCCACAATGGGGGCATGGTAAATAATGTGATCAAACTGTTTAAATACTGAATGCTTTTGTTTTTGTCAAAGAGCAAATTTCTCATCTCAAATCAAATTATCCAATTATACACAGTTGAGCTTATTTTTTAGAGTGATCCATGTTATTTTTTAGTGCTTCCTATTAATGTTTGCTTACTATTCCGACTGCTCTGTACTGTGTGTTGCAACACTAACAATTAAAATACATGTCTTCTTACACGTAGCAATGAGGTGAAGCTGATTTGTTTCAGTTTCACGCATTTGTGCCGTAAAATATCCTTGAAATTGGTCATTAAAAAAGAATATTACACAAACACTCTACCAGGACGTCTTTCTGATGTCAAGCAACAATTCAGAAGTACTTTAACTGTATAAATAGTGCATTTGAAGTCTGTGTGTCAACAGAGGCATACTAATCCAACATGAATCATGGTATTTTTGGTGCTTTTAATAAAAAACCTTATTTGTACCATCTTTCAAAAGGAATCCTTTTGAAGCACAACAAAATAAGAGTGCCAATCATATCTCCTTTAGTGTCAGCCCCAATTCAAGAATTTTGAATACTGATTACTGCATTAATAATTCATTACTTCACATGATCCAAACCTTGTCAGCACCGTTCCCTTTGTGCACACAACATAATAGAGCCTGATTTTCTTTTCTTTGACTGTCATTAAGAGATTCAGACTACACTTTTTCTCCCAGTCTCCCGGGATCGCAATTGTTGACTGATTGTTTGTAGCGCAAGATCCAGGAATGATTTAGCCTACTTTTACTATGACGAATCTTACTCTACCTCTAAGTCAGTTTATGGAGATGTATTTGTATTTATCAGCTCTGAATTTGGCTTTCCCTTTATAAATAAATCTAAGTGCCCCAAAGAGTGCTGTCCTGAATCCGCCAGAATTATGACAAAGTATGGCAGTAGAAGGTCCAACGCTGTCAGAAGCTTTAAACATAAAAATTGCACAGAAATGCAAAGGTATAGAGCTAAGGCGTAGTGAGGCTTTGTGCACTCATGAATCTCCATTGGCTACATGTTATTGGAGAGCAGTGATGACAGCGGCCCTGTTCTTGCCATGTTCAGGGTTCCGGTGGAGATGGAAAAGACATTTATGTTAAAGAAGAAAGATAGACACTGATGTCCTGTCCTCACTGATAGAATGTCTTTGGAAATCTAAAGGAATGACATTTTTAGTGAAGCTATGTTCTTGTCCTGACCTATAGCATGGCCTTGTTACATGCGATATACATCAATACCATATTTCCATGTTTGAAGTATTTAGTTCATGTTATTGCACTGTTTAAAAGTAACATTGGGCATTATTCTTGGTCCTTCGAAATATGAGACGAGTTACTTTATAATTTTATGTTTGAGTGAAATGTGAAATAATATCTAAAGTATAAAATATGGTTAAACATATTTTACTCACATTTTTTACTCTACATACACAGAGTAAAAAATGCTTTGCGCCAGTAACTACCTACAGTATGCACCAGAGGGAGGAGGTGAATTGTATTGTTTTTACAACCATGTGATTGTGAAGAATGTCACCTAATGAATTGCCAAAACAATAGTTTTGAGTGTGATGCCACTATTACTATAACTATAACTATTTAACTTCAAATTATGTGTTGGGTTAAGTTTTTAGACAAAAGAATAGATCTGGTTAATTTTTTGAGAACATAGATCATGAATAACTTGCCTTGATAGACCATTACCATCAATGCTACAAGTTAATTAGATACAATTAAAAATCATTTTAGGGGCCACTAAAAATGTGTCCAGATTTGGCCCACAGGCCTGAGTTTGACATGCCTGTATTATAGGCGTGTGGACCTTATATAATGGGCTTATAATGCTGATGCTGAAACCCTCTTTGCATCTTTCAGGAGCCACAGGGACCAGAGAACCATGTGGACAGTTTCATATGAGGATTTTAAAAATAGCAGCGCTGTGACACGGGGCTCACCTCAGCCCGTACAGCACGGTGCCATCGGGATGCAAGCGGATCATGCGGTTCTTCACTGTCACGCCGTGCAGGAAGGACTTCTTGTCATTAAGAAAGTAGGTGTCAGGGAGCCACAGCTGGTCGGCCACGCGGTTGTCCAGAGTGAGGTTCAAGTTCAACTCTCCGTACGCCAGACGCTTGTCCCTCCAACTCTGCTGGAAATACATGGTGATGGTGTAGTCCTGGAACAAGAAGGGAAGAAGTTCAATTAGAAACGGCCATAACAAACCTTATATACAAAGTGCATCAAAAAGAAAAACAACCGCTCACTACATTTTACATATATACTTACTTATGTATTTATTTCTTATATTTAAAGTGCATCAACCAATATGGAATGACCGATTTATTATTTTTTACCATCAAATATCATGCAATAAAGCAGGCATATGGAAACTAAGAGTTGTTTCACTTAGCCTTCTAAAACACCAGTTCACAATGTCATCCAGCCAACTTCAACTCTTTCAACACAGGCACCTTGTGAAGCTCAGATCTCTGCAATCCATTCATGACTTTGTTTGACTGTACTGACATTTATTTGTGATTGTATGACGCCAATACTTTTGGTGAGTCAACATATGTCATTCGTGTTGTCGACCCCTCAACAATTTTGGTAAACTAAAGTGGCCTTCTAAGAAAAAGGTTTGGACCCCTGTGTGAAAGGATACAAAGCTCTAATATGCGATGTTAGCCACAAACACACACACAGTACATATTAACAAAAAAAAAACAAAAAAAAAAGATTTCAGTAAGAGAGAGAGTAAGAGAGATATTAACTTGAAAACAATGAATAACGTTTTACAACCCCATGTTTGGGTTATGAAACAGACTTATAAACAGGATTCAGGATTTTCAGAGCTTTAAAATGAGGCAAGACTAACTTATGTTTAGATTGTAATATAAATGAGGTATAGCATGTCTGTATTGGTAAAGATAAAGTTATGCAAACTTTCAAAAATATTAACCAGTAACAATTTAAAGTCCACCCCCCAACCCACAAATGGATCAAGGGGAAGGAAATGGATGGATGGATTTTCTTTCCTCAGGGAAGACATTTTGTCTCTAATGACTCTTGTGTGTGCGCGTCTTTTTATTGACCAGAAATAAAATAATCTACTTTTTTTGATTATAAATCACTTATACATTTTAAGTAATCATTGACTACTAAGTAATGAAACATTAACAAATGTCTTATTTATATGAACAAATAATCATGTAAACATTAACAACTCATTAACAAATGTTATTTGTAACTGTTTTGGAAATCATTGCTGACTAATGAACAAATAATCTTGTAATCATTAAGACATGTTTTATTTAAGTGTTTATAATCATTCATAAATGATTTACACATGATTTACTAATTGTTATTAGTTCATTATCAAATGTTGATCATTCACATATAAACATTATTATAACCATGTGCTACTCATGAGCTAATTATTTACAACTCATTTATGAATTAATCTATAATAAACACCTAATGGTTGTTAAATCATTTACTACTCATTACTTGTGTGTTTCCAGCTAATGAACTATGATTAGGTGATATGTTAAATATTCACTAACATCAAAATAAAAGTATACTACTCATGATCTACATAGTATCAACTCATTTACTAAGTAATCATATCATGAACTACTCAGAAACAGAAAACATACAACACATTTTTCTATGTTTTATTGACATTTAATTATACATCATGACATTATATAATCATTTACAAATGATTATTACAATATTTCATGGTAATGGAATGCTAATATTAACAAATCATTTATAAAATATTAGTTATACCTTCTCATATGAACAGAGTGTGCGTTCATGTTTACTGCTCATTACTAACTCTTTTTCCAAACAGTATTTTAAATTGGGGACTGTTCCTCATTAACTAATGTTTACCTAAGTATATGTAAATCCAATTCACATTAACAACTCATTTACTAATGTTTAATACTCATTAGTTACTCTTTTTCCACACATTATTATAAAGTGGTGACTGTTCCTCATTAACTGCTCACACGAGCGCAGTAGCACAAAGAGGGAGTCTGTCAATGGTTAGAAGATGCTCCCATCTCGTACCGCTCAACATGACAGCAGATGTCATAAAAACACTTGTTCTTTCACAGTTGGATTATTGTTCTGAAATTTGGTCATGTGCTGCTTTATCAAATAGTAGGCAGTTACAAATGGTTGAAAACAAGGCAGCTCGACGTGCTCTTCGATGTACATACAGAACAAATGTGGATGCGTTCATGTTTGTCTTGGTTAATGGTGAAAGAGAGATTCGAGGCATCGATACTCAATTTCACAAGAAATATTATTGAGAGCAAAATTTCAACTGTGCTTCATCAAGAGCTCTGTTTAAGACCTTTTGTCGTCATCTGTATTATTTTGTTTTTTATTTTAGTATAATTATTGTCATGTATTTTTGTTAATGCACCTTGCTTGACTCCAGGAAGAATAGCTGTCTTGAACAGCTAAAGGAGATCAAAATAAATGCAAATACAAACTAATGTTTACCTAAGCATATGTAAATTCAATTCACATTAACAACTCATTTACTAATGTTTACTACTCATTAGTTACCCATTTTCCAAACAGTAATATAAAGTGGTGACTGTTCCTCATTATCTAATGTTTATCTAAGTATATGTAAAGCTAGTTCACATGAACAACTCATTTACATCCATCCAAGGTAGTATTTATAAATGATTTATAATCAAACAGTATTATAAAGTGTTACCTTTTTTGCGAGTGTCTTGTGCAGATACAAGGTGGTGATTGGAGAGATGGAGGTGCATTTAGGCAGCCTTGCTTCCATCAATTTGGTCACAAACTAATTTGTGACCACAGACTCTTCTAAAATCCCTCAATAAGTAAAATTATTTTTTTGGCTCAATGGTGAAAAAAAAATCCCAAAAATAAATTGTCACTTTTGCTGTTCTAAATTACAATAATGAATAACAATAATTCAGTAGGACTTGGTACTAATTATAAGAATAACTGGTTCTTTGGACATTCAAAGTCAAGTCTGACTTGTTTCTTATTCTGACGCGTCTACCTGAATGTAACATTTGGCTTGTCTTTGCAGTCGCCATAGCAACTCCTCACAGAGTCACAGGTGCTATTACAGATGTTGAAAAATAAAGGAAATCTTTGAGAGGATTCTGTCCACTTATAACGAACACATAACATGCTCAGACCTTTCATTGCTTTGCTTTCAATAATAGCTTTGACAAATTCACCCGCTGCCTTGGAAGCGTTTCAATATGTAACAACCATATTCATCACGGAAAGTGGGCTTTTTCAAAGAACTATGAATATTCCTCCATAACTAGAGTCATTACTTTCAGATTGGCCGATTTTTGCATATAGATTTTATGGTCAAATGGATGGATTTTTAGGCAGGCTGGTGAAGTGGGAGGCTTTGTGACGAACTCTGCCAGTAATATAAAGAGCGAGTGCTTAGAGACCAGTGACGTCACCAGCCATATTGCTTTCTCCTCTTCTCAGCCAGCTCCTCTCACCAGGCTTTTGTGATCCACAGTATCTCAAGAACTGTGGGAATTTGTGATAATCAGTTGGTCACTTAGATGTGTTTTGTTAACAAGTAGGAAGTCAGAAGAAAACAAATGTAACAGACTTTCCCCATTTGGCTGTGCTTGGAAAGTGGATGGGTGTGATGCATTGTTTTTTTTAAGATTAATGGTAATAGCAATGCTAAATAATGCGCTAGTAATGACAAAAAATAACAAGAGATTTTGAACTTACCATGTTGACTTCGGATATGGAGTCTATACTGGCTATGTTGATACTCATTCCTACAATGACTGGGAGACCTGTAACAACATAACAAAACAAAACAATTGTTTTAATTTTCCCATCTAGAAAAATAACTGCAGTATTAAAACAAAAGGGAGTGAGTGTGTAGTACTAAAAACCAGTATAGTGTGATCATTTTAATATATGGCACATTTACTGTTGAACTAAAGATCCTAATAAGAGCCATGCTTAATGGGAGATCTGACATTAGAAGTTTGTTCATGTGTGCCAACCCCTGAGCCCTCGGAGAATCAGACCACGACATGCTGCCTTCATCCTATTGCACAACATGAGCATGAAAAAGCCTTTTCTGTCTCTATATTAGACACTTTGATTGAAAGCTGAATGGCTGAGGAAGGGTGTCCTGTCCTTTTCACTTTTTTGTTTTATCTGAAAAATCTGATCTAAATATTTGACCAAAAATATATACATACATAAGACCAATGATACATACAAAGAATCAGTTTTAGGATCAATTTGGTTCCATGTAATTAGTGCATAGAAATACTTACACAGATTTTTAATACACTGTGCTTTTAGTAGTTTAAAAAATATGGCTAATATTAAATTGACTTCATCCGACTTTAAAGTCAAAGTGACCTTAAAGCCATTCAATGTCGGGCTCATCTGTGACAATCCAATGAAAAATGTATGTGACATATCAAACTTGCAAATAAAAAGATGGTGTATGTTAAAAGCTCACAATAAAGAAATGCAATTAAAAAAATGATAATCATATCTAAAATTCCATCAGATGTATTTCATTTCATTTCTACAACAGATTCCTGCTGAAAGACTGGTGGCAAACACATTAGGACACATTATGCACCACACTGAGGCATATATAATTTAAGCATAGTGACAAAGCCGATGAGACTGTTGTGGGCAAAAGCAAAGTACATGTGAGGATCACTCGACCATCGAGAGGAGTTTCTGGTCTGGCGGAGCAAATGTGCACGATTATACTAAACAGCTTTTCCCATGGACCACCTAACATGTGCTACAAACACTTCCCCCAATGCAATATTCAATAGGACAAGTGCAGACAAGAAATTAACCCGAGTCCACTTTTTTTATTCCCTCGCTGTAATGTTGCCGTGATGCATTGCTAAACTAAACATGTATTGCCTTTCCAACTGTTCATTTTGTCACACCAGTATTACATCTGCCATAAAAAAAGAAAAAAAACTGTTTCCATACGAGCCTTGTGTGGCCATGTGTAATCAAGCACACTAGAGATTACAAAGGTCCCCACAGACCTGTTATAAAATGACTGTATCGTTTGTCAGGCTACGGTTGCATTTCAGTGGGTTTTTATAAACATCATAAAAGAAAACGTTTTAGATCTCGACCGGTCCAGCCCCTGGCATACACAAAATAATACATTGTTTAGTGCCACAACCAGTTATAGGCTCTTCCCATGGATTTCATAAAAACCACGTGAATGAAATGACAATAAATCAGAAAAAAATATCCTTAAAATTACGCCTGAAACAGAATGCTGAAACTCACGAAAAGATTACCTAATAAAAATGTATCTTCTTCTTTATTCATTTAAATAGTGCCTTTCACAGACCAGAAAGCACTTGACAATTGTTGTTTAGTTTTTTCAAGGCATTTTTCCTCTCCACACAGAGGTGGGAGTGGGGTCGCAAATACAGGAGGCGCATACCAGACCTATTGTTTTTAGAGGTAGGGGAAACCGGAGCACCTGGAGGAAACCTACACAGACGCCGGGAGAACATGCAAACTACGCAGAGATAGGTCCTGAAATAGTTGGAATTGAACCTGAATGTACAGTTATTCTGATCCACCTCATTTAAAACTAGTGCAGAAATGGTATAGCCAAACAAACACCACAGTGATTAGTTTGAAGACCTTTTCTGTTTCAGCCTTTTAAACTTGTTAATGAGAACAAATCTTAAAGAAAAGTACATGCGCCCTTATTCATGAGTCTTCAAGCTTCTTTGAGGATGAAGATGACATAGTTGATGATGATGATGATGTTTTGAGGACAGCTATATCTGTCCACACACTTCTGACTGAATGGAAAGAACATTAAAAGTCTATATAGTGAAATGTTAAAAATACATTACTTTAACACTAGCGTCGTTGATCAGCACTCTGCCCTCACTACAGAGACGACAGAGAGGTAACATGCAGTTCAAAGCATGTCTTTGATTTCTGTTGCCTGATTTTTGTAGACGATGAGACAGTTGAAAATTGCACGTTTAAATACATGACTACGACTGAACAAATGTCATTTTATACATATGGTCATGCAAAGTACAATTGAAACATACTAAACATGGTGAAAAGAAGTGTGTTTGTGTGTGTTTTTTTTTTTTCAATTGTGGGAAACAGAGATGGTGCTGTATATTGCATAGTGAAGGCATTTCTGTATTATGCCATAACTCTAGACACTTTTAATAACCTGCACAGTTCAATGGTGTGACTTTATATATTATTTTACATTATATAGATAGATAGATTGTTAGATAGATAGATAGATAGATAGATAATTTGTTATTGCACCATTATATGCCAAATAAAATTTCTAGTTTGTGACTTCCTTCTCACTTGCAATGGCCATAATATAATTCTGATTCAGATTTGTTATACTGGTTATTCAAATCGTGTTTGCGCAGATGAGACATAGATGGTTCTCTCATCCGCTCTCAATGTGTGTTTGACAAAGAACTCTTCATCCTTTTCACAAATCATGCATGTTCATGTTCACATATTGACCACTTGATGATGGCAGCTCTACTTTGACACTGTAATCCCATTTTCTGCTCCCTCTTCTCCCAGAGCACTAAACCCTTAGACGCTCCCCATCTCCTCAAAAATAAATATATAAAAATCAGGCCATTTTCTATTTCACTCTGCAATGGAACCACTACGAGTTTTCCCCCGAGAGGCCAGAGAACATCGGTTTGCTCAAAACAGACCCCTCCCCTCTCTGTTCAGCCCTGCATATTTTGACCCCACTTTAGTGAAACACAGGCACTCACTTTGTCACTGCAGCTTTCTCTAAAATAAATCTGCTTCCTGAACTTGCAATTCACAAGATATTGGGAGACAAAACTTACTTACCAAAATAACCTTCCACTTTTGAAAAACACTTTTTTTTCCAAAGACAAATTTCACGATTAACTTTGCGCACAAAAGGTTTAGTATTTTCTGTGAATAATAATCTTTTCACATCTGCTGCGGTCACCTTTTTGGGAGAAAACTTCTATCCTCAAAGACTTTACTGCACAGAGATATAAGGCTTTTCCTCACGGATCAATAAGTGCCAAAAGGACCAGCACTTAGTCTGATGGTCATAATCTTATGGCTGATTGGTTGCTACAAGTTCAAGCTATAGCAATCTTCAAAATTATCCTGCAGGCGTGTGAACATATTGGGAAACATATTAACCAATTTAACGACAGACATGCATAATAACAACATAATAAATAAATCCATTTGTAATTACTGTGGGATACTAATAAATCTACAGAAAACCAGAAAGCAAGGACATACAAAGTGCATTTGTTCCATGCAAAGATGAGCAACATAAATTTAAGCGTGTGCTGACATTTAATTAGAAACCCTGTGGCCATTTTACATCCGCAAACTACAAATACGTGTGGGGATAAAATATAGTGCAATTTTGTGATGCTTTTAAATCATGGCACAGCAGTAACTTTGTACATGTGGGGGACACTATGACCTCTGTTGGAATTTTAAATGCTGTGATTTCAAACCTGTATATTCACATTAGTGAGAAATGGTTTCACAGCTTTACTCTCTATCAAGCAAAAATAAATCAAGCATTCTTACCCACTAGCTGGATGAAGCCCATTTTTGTTTTGGCTCCCATTCAATGTACTATAGAGTCACACCACTGTGGGTTTATAAATATATGGTTTGGGTTTTTGTAAATCATGTCATGACCCTAACAATTCCCTAATCGGTAACTTCTATGCCTAATTTGGTTTTGACTCTAGCAAATAGTTTGCGAAAAGGCACTTTGTTGCTATAAAGTATGAGGCTATAGTTTCCCTGCTCCAGATTCCTACCCATGGTGCAACATCCAGTCTATGATCTATGGATGGATTTGATTAACTTTATATGATTTGCTTATTATAAACATACACACCTGCATATCAAAGCCTGGTCCTATCAGACCTCAGAAGCTAAGCAGGGCAGGGACTTGGTTGCATCTCTGGTTGATCTCTGGGAACACTAGTGTAAAGCGACGAACTTCTGTTGTGTCCTTATGCAAGACACTTCATCCACATTGACTAGAACTAGTCTGGTGTGTGTATGAATGATTGGTGGTGGTCCGTGAAGCAGATGGCAAAAAGTATCACACTTGTTTTTACTTTTACTTCAACATTCATTGTGACTTTTCTAGAGATAATTTATCTCTTTCACACACACTCATGGGCTTTTGAAAACAGTCTTAATTTCCCCTTGAGGATAAATACATTTAAATAAGAAGATTGGTTGATTAAAAGTAAATTTGTGGTGAGGGAGCTATACTCTTGTTTTTGTAACGCAAACTTGCAGACTCATCTGGGCGCTTAGGGCCTAATTTGCATCATCTGTAAGCCCCACTTAATAAGACTAACATACAGTACTTGCAATGTGAAACTAAAAGCTGTAACATTTGCATTACGTGGTTACTGGAGGCCCTGCCAGCCTGATCATCCCCTATGGTAGAACATTTATGATTAGTACATCTTCCTCAGCACATCTAAATTGGCTCTGTGTATGGATGATTGGGCTGGATCATGACTCGAGGGATTATTAGCAGCATTTGAACGTGGCAATAGCTGATACCCGCTATGTGTGCGGTTCTGTCAGCAGTTCAAAAATGTGTCTGTGATGCCTGCTATCACTTCTCGTTGACAGTTGCCTGTTTATTTTGGTCTGGCTAATGTCCCCTTCCATTTTGCCTATATTATCTATGTATGCTGTCCCTTCGGTTTCCACAAATGTGTTGCTACATTGGGCTTCCAGTCTG